CAAGGGACCATTGTGACACTGTGGGGCACCATGAAATAAACAAAGCATTGTGATACTGAGGGGCCTCATGGAACCAGTGAGACCATTGTGGTCCCCACAGAACCAAGAGGACCATTGGGATCCTGTGGGGCCTCGTGAAACCAAGAGGCCTTTGTGACACTGCAGGGCTGCATGGAACCAAAGGTCCATTGTGACATTGAGGGGCTGTAAGAGACGGTCCGAAGATTCCCTCATCTGTCTCACAACCGTCTCAAGGACAGAGACTGAGACCCTGAATATCACAAGGGACTTGGTTTGGGGGTTTGGGCCTAGCTGAGATGGATGTTTGCCAAGTGATTGTTTGCAGGTGGTTGCACGGTACACTGCTCTCGTTCCTGCTGGTGAGCAGAGGCTTGGTAACCTGCACAACGGGTTTTCCACGACTCATGGCTCTCATTCCTGCTGGTGAGCAGAGGCTTGTGCCTGGTACCCTGTGCAATGGGTTTTCCACAACACCTTGTCCTTGTTCCTGCTGGTGAGCAAAGACTTGCAAGACATGGATCGCTCTGTACCCTACACCTGCTCCCTGCGCAATGGAATTCATCACAATGACCATCAATCTCCTCTGGTTTTGGCCCTGCGCACCTCGCTTTGCAAAAGACTATAAAATTATAGTCTTACTATACTTACTTAATTATTTATTACTATACTTACAAACTTACCTTCCTTTGAGATCTCCCCAACAGACAGAAGACTCTGCGTCGCTGGATGTCTGAGTGGACTTCGACGTTGGTATCTATAATCCCCTTACTCTCTGTTCCTTATGCTCTGCTTTCTCTTCTTTTAGCTCTATTGCATATTAGTGCTGATGAGCACTCAATAAAGTGTGTTTTGCAATTTAAGTCCTTGGTTTGCTGATAATCTTTTGTACTGTAAGACTGACTAAAAGAACCACATCACGAATCCCACCTTGCGGATTGTGACACCCCATGTTCCCCTCTCTGTGACACTACAGCTGTGACAGCCCCAGTGTTCCCCTGTCTGTGACAGCACAGCAGTGACAGCCCCAATTTCCTCCTCTCTGTGCCATCTCTCGTGGTTTTAAAGCATTAGTTAAAAAAATCACTGGAAAACTTGTTCATTTCTTGCTGCGAGATGTGGATTATGAGAAGGGCAAAAGAAGCTTAAAACTTAAAAGGAATAGAGTAAGTTCATTAAGCAAACTACAAGGAGAAGAAACCAGAATAAATCTTCCAGAAACCCTTTTTCCCCACCAGCCAACCATTCCTGTCTTTAATTGACAACAGAGAAAAAAACCCTGGTGGTTAAAACAGTCCTAACTTTGCTATAGTCTTTTCACCAGTCTTTGTCGAGAAAAATAAATTCTCTTTTGGCAATCTAGGGAGTATTTCACAAGGAAATCATCATTTCCCCCCATTTCACACCACTCTGAGGTGTGTTCTTGGGCCATGATTCAAGGGGTGTCATTTGAAGGATGAGATCTTCAAAGGCAAAAGTTCTCTTCATTTGTCTCTGTGATCATCTCTGGAAACAGAAATTTTTGCTTTGACTCTTAAGAGCCACAAATCTTCAACAACTCTCACTTCTCCTTTTCTCTTCCAGCATCTCCTAGGATTACAATGATTTCACCATTTACTCAGCTTTATCAATTAATTACTTTTGCTCAGATCTACACTTTGAAATACTCGATTCCCTCAAAAATACTGTTTCAGGAAAGAAAGGAGTTTTTTCAGGACATTATTGTCCCTCTCCATAGCTTGAATAAAAGAAAACTTCCACTTTTTCAGGCATCTCCTTCTTCTCTTCCCATCTGAGGGTTAATTCCTTCCCTCACTGCCTTTGAGAGTTGATGCTGTTTCTTTCCATGTTGATCCCTCTCTCTTCCCCTCTCTCTGGACAAAGGATTAATCTGCAAGTCTCATCTGGCTAGTGAAAGGGTTAAACTCTTGCCCAGGCCTTGATCTCTGCCAGGGCAGCGGCTGGAGCTGTTTGCCATGGAAGAATTTTGGTAGCTGCTCTGGAGGAGTGTGGCCACTGTCTCAGCACGCCGCAGCTCAAGAGCTTTCCCTCCCCTTCCTCGGCAGTCTCTGCTGAAAGCCAGCAGCATCAGAAACTGCAGCCCAGCCAGGAACCAGCCTGGCCCGGCAGCCCCGCTGCACAAGGCTCAGCGAGCCCTACCAGAGCTTCAGCTCCTCTGGGAAGGGGCTCCTGTCACTTCACAGTCTCCATCCAGCACCAGGAACCGCAGAACTCCGGCCAGCCCCGCTCCCCCCGCGGCCTTGTCTGGCCTGGGTAGGGGGGAGGCAGAACTGGAGCCCTGTTACCTCTTCAAAAGCCAGAAACCAAGAGAAAGAGAAATTCCCGGGCTTAAGATTTATGGGGTGGTGTTCACAGGTTGATGTCAGATTTCAATGGTCAAAACTACCGTCAGTTCTTCGAAATGGCCAGATATTGGCCAGGAGAAACAACTCCCATCAGCCTCCAGCAACCTTAACTTCCTTTGCTGTTTGTCTTTTTATCTTAAATGTCAATCTATCACACACCACAGCAGTGACAGCCCCAATCTCCTTCTCTCTGTGACACCACAGCAGTGACAGCCCCAATCTCCTTCTCTCTGTGACACTACAGCAATCACAGACCCAGTGTTCCCCAAGTCGTGACACCACAGCAATGAGAGCTCCTAATTACCTTTTCTCTGTGACACCACAGAAGTGAGAGCCCTAATCTCCTTCTCTCTCTGACAACACAGCAGTCACAGCCCCTTTGTTCCCCTCTCTGTGACACCACAGCAGTGACAGCCTCCATTTTCTCCTCTCATTGACACACGCTATGAGCAAAGCAGGAAGCACAGTGCCTGTGGAAAAGCAAGCTGCATATCTTTCTCAGTTTCACCTGAGAAAGTGGCCTGGGAAATCAAAAGGAGGAATTAAAACAATCCTCAGAGACAGAAGACAGCCTTGCAGGTGCTGTTTGTCAGTTTCTTGTTTTCTTGCAAGAGAAGGTCGTGGGGTGGTGAACCCCACTGACCAGTGGCAGTGTTGTGTTTGTTCGCTAACCAATAAGAGTTTTACCTTTCTGTACTTTCACATATCGGTCTATAAAAGAAGATCTCAGGTAATTAAACTTGCATTCATTTTCAACTCATAAGAGAGCCCATGTTGTGCTTCTCGTCGTTCCCAATAGCATGACAGGAACCCCCAAAAAATGCATCAAAAATGGGGAACTCCCCCTTGAATCCAAGGGATTTTGGGGAATTTTTTTCCCAAAAGCAGCAGGTTTTTCGGGGTGGGGGGGGAGGAGAGACCCCCTCTAAATTCCTTGAGATGTCCCCAAGGCACCGTCTGCGGAGGCAGTGGAGGGTGAATAGAAGGGAATTTTATGGAAATTAAGGGAATTTCAGGGGATTTGGCAAATTTTAGGGAATTTTTCGATTTTTGTGGGGGTCTGGGGGGGTCTTGATTTTGTGAGGTCTTGCGTTCCAGGGCCAGGCTGCAGGATCATGTCCAGGGAAGCCACAGTTACCAGGAACAGGCATGGGACACCAACGAGATGGGATTCTGCTCAGGAAACCATTTATTCAGCTCAGGAACAAACTCAGATCCAGAGACAGCCCCAAACAGAGGCAGGGAGATGGGGTTTGAGAACCAGGGTGGAGTTCAAGGTCAGGAACCACTGGGAACACAGCAAGGGAGAAACCCCAGGGGCCCAAACCCAATCAGAAATCCCTGGGCTGCCACCCCACGAGGGGTCCAGGGTGGAGTTTCTTCCTGGGCTCACAGGGCCCATCCTCTGAGGCTGAGGGATGGAATTCCCTCTTGCCCATGCCTCTCACTTTAACAATGTTCATTTGAAACTAAATCTTTGCATCCCTGGGCAGGGGAATCTCACAGAAAAACTCAGTAATGGCCTCCTGCTCCCTTCATCACCCCCAAACTTTGGCTGTCTCATTGCAGACCCCACCTCACCTCCCCAATCCCAACCTCAACCCACCCCATCCCTGCTGGACATCAAGACCCCCTTCCCAAGCTCTATTTCCACCATTTCACACCTCCCAAACTCCATCCCACCCATCCTGCCCCACCCAATGCCCATCTCACCCCTCCTGATCTGCATCCCACTTCACCCAATCCCCTTCCAACCCCATTCCACCTGATGCCTTCAGAAGGCTGACCAAGAACAGAGGCTGGACAGAGTTAAGAATAAAGTTTATTAGAAGGATTTAAATACACCATGGGCAGTACAAGAGCCTGGCCAGGGCTACACCCAAGATAGACCAGAAATGGTCACAAAAATGGACAAGTGATCATGAGGTCTCACATTTTCAGAAGTTTAGGTCCATCTGCATATTTGGATTCATTGTCCAGTTACAGCTTCAGATGATGAAGTCCCATCCTTCTTGTTTTCTCTCTACAGTCCACCCTTGTTCATGCTTTTGGGCCTGGAACTTGTAACAATTGTCCTTGGTATCAAGCTAGAAAAGGAATTGTTTTGTCTACCTACTCTGTGAAGGGAGCTCACTAACACTTAATAGGAAGTTCAAAACTACAAACCTAGGCAGTGCAGAATATGAAAAATATGAAAGCTAAAACTTAAGGCAACACACCCTGAGGGACTTTGGAATCCAGTCATTCTGGGTGGGATTGAGTAGATTTCAATGGCACTGAGTGGTTTTGAGGTGACAGATTGAACTCACTCGTCTCCTTGAGTGCCAAGAGATGGAGACAAATAAACCAAATACCCCCAAAACCCTCCCCATTACCTCCCTGAATACCAGATTCCCTTCAAGCACTAGTAAAAAGTGAGGCTTTAGATGCCTTTGACAAATCTGTTGACTTTTACCCCAATTTTGTCTGTTTTAAAGGGATGAAGATGAATGAAAATGAGGGCCAAATCAAAATGACCACCAGCCCAGTGTGTTCTCAACACAGATCACTGGGTACGTGGGTCATCAGAGCTCTGCCCAACGTGGGTCCTCTGATGGGGGATGGAGCTGGGGCAGTGCACGAAGCTCTTCCTGCACTTGGGGCACTCACAGGGCTTCCCTTACCGGTGCCTCCGTTGGTGTCTCGTCAAGTGAGAGCTCTGGGTGAAGCTCTTCCCACACTGGGGACACTCATAGGGCCTCTCCCCAGTGTGGATGCGCCGGTGCTTGATGAGGTTGGAGTTGTGCTTGAAGCCCTTCCTGCAGTCGGGGCAGTGGAAGGGCCTCTCATCCGTGTGAATCCGCTGGTGCTGGAGGAGGCTGGAGCTGGTCTGAAACCTCTTCCCACACTGGAGACACTCATAGGGCCTCTCCCCAGTGTGGATCATCTGGTGGATGGTCAGTTGTTTCCTCCATATGAAGGTCATCCCACATTTCTCACAGTCATAGGGATGTTCCCCAGTGTGAGTCCTCTGGTGGATAGTCAGGCTGGAGCTGTGGGTGAAGCTCTTCCCACATTTCCCACACTCATAGGGTCTCTCCCCAGTGTGAATGCGCCGGTGCCTGATGACGTGGGAGTTTTGCTTGAAGCCCTCCCCACAGTCAGGGCAGCGGAAGGGCCTCTCATCCGTGTGAATCCGCTGGTGCCTGAAGAGACTGAACCTAATGTGAAACCTCTTCCCACACTCAGGACACTCGTAGGGCCTCTCCCCACTGTGGATGCGCTGGTGGGTGATGAGTTTGGAGTTGCAGCTGAAGCCCTTCCCACATTCTCCACACTCGTAGGCCCATTCCCCAGTGTGGATCATCTGGTGGCGGATCAGGAATGAGCTCCGGCTGAAGCTCTTCCCACACTCCAAGCACTTGTAGGGCTTCTCCCCATCCTGAAGCTGCTCATGGACCACCAGCTCAGAGCCCCGGCTGGATCTCTGGCCGCCTTCCCGGCACAGGGTGGGTCTTTCCTCCTCAGAGCACCCTGGGATGGGTTTGGAGCCCCTCCTCCTGCGGGATCTCTGTGGCTTTTCTTCCCTGTTGGATTCCTGTGCTGTGGAGCCACTCAAAACAGCCCCTTCCATGAGGTTCTGCCGTGGGGATTTGTCCTCCCTGGTCTCCATCCTCAGCTCCTTGTCTGGGGGAGGAAGGACAAGGAGAGGATGGGATTTGCCTCCGTGCCAGAGGGAAGGGGAAGGAGATCCCCCCAGTGCGTCCCCGGCAGGACGGCGTCGGCAGCGGGGTTGTCCTGCAGCCGGGGGCCAGGCTGGGCTGGGAGATGGAGCAGGAGAGAGGGGGAAAGGGGCACTGACTTCCTCCTCACCTGCCTGGGTGTCCCGGGGCATCTTCCTCTTCCTCACATCCTCTTCCTCCATTGGGCCAACGGTCTGGGAATGAGAAATCCATGTTTGGGGAGAAATACAATTCACGAGCACATTGGAATAGGGGGTTCCTCCTGCCCAAGTCCATCTCTAGAAATCACAAGCTATCCATAAAAACCTCCCAAACACCAAGATTCATCCCCTAAAATGCCTCCCAGGAGTTCCCCATCTCTGGTCTCTTCCCTTTCATGTTCAGGGGTTCCCCCCTGTCCCAGCTGCTGGGGGTCACGCTTGTACTGGGGGTTCTCTGTTTGCTTGGTCCCTGCCCTCCTCAGGCTGCTGGGAGTGCCAGGAATCTGCAAAGTTCTCACCTTTTCCATCTTCTCACTAACAGATGCTGGGAACCCCAGTGTCTCCACAAGGGGCATTTTCCGCTCAGCTTTGCAGTCCTTAATACCTAAATATCGCC